ATTACTATGACTATGAAAGTAAAACATATATAGAAATATAGATATAAAGTTTTATATCAACAATCAAATGAATTTAGACATATTTATAATTATCCTGTAAATAGTATAAAGATGCTGATATACTGAGAGGTAACTAATATATATTAGTATGGTGTGGAGAGGGGGAATTTGGGAAGAGCTACTACCTCACACTCATTACGTTTCATTCATAAAATATTAGAGGTTTACAAGCATAAACCAGTCATTAGCTAAGCCAGAGGATGGCTTACAACTGGACTGGTGGTACAGGGTTATATTGTTGGTGTGGTTGAAGGAAACTTGCCAGACAGTATGTGATATGGGAAATTCATCAACAGAAAGAGAATTCTAGAGAAACATAGCATAGCAGCAAACTTACAAAAAACAGGAAGCTTACAAAGTACTTAATTACCTATAATCTTAAAACAATGTTTTAGTGCATCCGGTATGTGTTTTTCAGATATTTTGGATTTAGTAAAAATAAAAATGTATATATTCCTCCCATCTTTTTGGGGTAAGTTTTACATAAAACATTATTTATTTCACATATAAATAATGATTTGTAGTTGAGACTGGACCTAGGTAGAATAGCTGTTGGAAACAAATTGTTATTAAGCTGTGTCAGTAATTCAGATATTTATGCTGCTTCCTTCAAGCATAGGACATTACCAAATAAGCAGTTAACAAAAAGTCTTTGATAGTATTATGTCTCTCTTTAGGCATAGCTCAGTAGTATAATAAGATCCTAGGTCTGCACATGGGAGAGGACAAGTAAGGAAAAGTGTGACATTAGGTATAAGTGTGTGAGGCGGGTGCGACCTATTCGTAAACAGGTAAGGGCAATTCCCAGCGTTTGTTTTGGTGGTATGGGGCCAACCAAGGAGAGATGGAAGGTTTGATGGTTTGCAGTTTATTGGTGGGCAGATCTGACCAGAAAGATTGCTAAGTTTGAAGTGGAAAATTTTGAAGTAGGGGCAGTAGGTGGCTGGAATGTACGAAAAGTTGGGTTGGTGAGTTGTGGACAAGACAGTGAATTGTTCCAAGGCATCTGCTTGTTCATTGCTGGGGATCCCAACACGGCTGAGTATCCAGCAAAACTTCACTGCTTTCAGTTGTCTTGACAGATAGAACAACTGGTCCTGTATCTTATGGACTATAGGGCTGATAGGATTTATGGATTGTATGAGTGATAGTGAGTTGTGTGAGGTAAATATGGTGAAGGATGAGGAAGAGATGGAAGACATTCATTGTAAAGCAAAGAGGATAGCATATAGTTCTGTTATAAGGACACTTGATTCCGGAGGAATGGGGTGAATTGTATGTGTGAGAAGGAGACTAGGGCAAAACCAGTACCTAAGGTGGAGTTGGAGCCGTCTGTATAGACATGGGTACTGGAGGAGTGACTAGAGATGTGTGCAAGAAAATGTGTGAAAAGGACAAAAGGTGGGATGTTTGATTTGGGTGGATCAGGGAACACAGAAGAGCAATTACTGGAGGAGAAAGATGAAGGGATCAGAGATGAGGAATGGGTGAGTGGGAGAGCAGAGCATCCACATGAACAGGGAAGTGGGTAAGTAAACATGGAGAGAAAGATATGGCATGAAGACAGAATTGAGGGATAGTTAGCTTGGAGAGAGAAAATTGGCAAAACAAGCATAGCTTTCAAGAGACTGAGTTAATGAATAGTGAGAGTATGTAATGGGACAAAAGTTTTTTTTTCCAGGGAGGTTGGAGGATTTTGGGACTATGTAGCTCTAGTGCTAAGCTGTGGTTATAATGATGCATCCAAAATACTTGGAAGATTTTAAGTTTCATTTAGATTTTAGATTTCAAATTTGTATGCATGTTGCCAATAACTTTCTGGTTATTTTTTAGATTTTAGAAATTGTGAAAATATGAATATAAAGTAGACAAAGTCAGTCAGTTTTACACGCATTTTCAGTTGCAATGTTTTTTTTTTTGTTAAGGTTAATTATGATATGAAATATATTTTTCTTCATCGTTTTCAGATCCCTTACATAATAGATGTAGCATTCCAGAAGAGAATTGGAGGGATACAAACGAACTTTACTTATTCTATAGCTATATTTTAGGTTCAGGTAGGTTGTTTTTATATAATTATATATTTTTTGGGGGAAAGTGAATAGAAATCAAGTGAAACAATATTTGTCAAAGAAGAGCTTTGACTCCTTTTTTTATTTGTAATAAGATTTTTGAATACTTACAGTGGTTTGGGCTCGCATACCTTCTACCCCTTGGTGGCCAGCTATTGTTGACTTAGATCCGGATTATGGATGCTATTTGTGGGGAAAGTCAAAGGAAAATCATCCTGTATGTTGATTTGTGAATATGAAGATATTACTGATATTGTCATTTAGGTAAAGACACCAGTATTATG